CCAGGCGGGTCTCGAACCTGCAGGCTCAGGCAATCCACTCACCTCAGCCTCCCAAAGGCTGAGCCACCGAGCCCGGCTTGGGTAACTTTTCTACACCCCCTTCCTCTTGAGACTAAAGACAGAGTCTGTTGTAATAACTTCACTTCCTCTTTCTGCCCTGAGCTGAAGCTAAGTATATTTTATGGTTATTTGTAGATTTTGTGTCTCTATCATACTATGATTTTAAGGGGAGGAGGAAACTGTCTTTTCACTTTGTCTCCTCCATATATACACACGAGTGGGTGTTGTGCCTGTGGCTGGACTCAGTACACATCTGGAGAGGAGACAGGCCAACTTATACTTGGGCTTTTCAAGAGCTGCCACTTGGGAATTCTGTTAGACTAGAAGCTAGAACCTAGTTAATGATTTGTTGTTTTGGATGAGTAATTATTTAGGGGCCCTCACCTTCCTAATAATATGGAAATAGGGGAGCAAGAGACAGACTAATGAGGTTCCTTTAGCTTTGTCCCTGTTGAGCTTGCCTCCAAGGGGCTGGTGGCAGGTAGCATGGAGAGGGTTCTTTCCTGTGACTCACAGTATGTTAAGAGCTGGAAGGCATCTTAGGGATTATTCATTTGGCCTTTAAGATACTTTTTACTGAGTGTCTGCTATATGCTATGTATTGTACTGCTGGATGCTGGTGATGTTTTTTTTTAAACCCAAGAGGAAAATCCATTTAAAGAAAGCAATTAACTTGTCCAGGGCATGGAGCAAGTACATGGCAAAACTGAGACTAAACCTGCCTCTTGCTGCCAGCCCAGTGCCCCCTCTGTGACATGTGCTGCCTGTATCCTTTGGGCCCTCACCTACCTGTCTTTTAGCCTTTAACCTTGCTCCCCCATCCCAAGCTCTGACCCTGGAGAAGGGCAAGAGAGTGGAGGCATTTTACCATCTGGTCCACTTATGGGCATCTGTCCATATGGTTCCAATGAGGGTGTGGTTCGCCAGGTGTGCAGTCCCTGCAAAATGCTACTTTTTGGTGATGCTCCATTGAGAGGAGCTCAACATCGGGAGTGATGCTCCATCAAGAGGCAGCAAAGGGGAGGGGTTAAGAGCTTTGATCCAGGCCAGATGTGGTGGCTCACATTTGTAACCCCACACTCTGGGAGGCCAAGGTGGGAGGATCACTTGAGGCCAGAAGTTCAAGACCAGCCTGGACAATATAGTCAATCCTATCTCTAACAACAAAAAAAGTGTGGATTCAGAAGCCAAATGCCTCGTCCACATTTGGCTCTATGCTGGCAATGGTGGCTCACACTTGTAATCCCAGCACTTTTTTTTTTTTTTTTTTGGGTTGGAGTCTCACTCTGTCGCCCAGACTGGAGGGCAGGGGCACGCTCCCGGCCACTGCAGCCTCAACCTGTTGTGCTCCGGCGATCCTTCTGCCTCAACCTTCCAAGTAGCTGGAACTATAGGCACACGCTACCATGCCCGGTTCATTTTTTGATTTATTGTACAGATGCAGTCCCAGCACTTTGGAAGGCAGATGTGAGAGGACTGCCTAAGTCCAAGGGTTTGAGACTAGCATGGACAACTCGGAGAGATTTCATCTCTACAATAAATTTAAAAATTAGCCAGGCGTGGTGGTACATGCCTGTAATTCTAGCTACTCAGAAGGCTGAGGTGGAATGATCGCCTGAGCCCAGTAGCTTGAGGCTGTGGTGGCCATGAGCATGGCACTGCACTCCAGCTTGGGTGACAGAGTGAGACTCCGACTAGAGTGAGACTCCGACTAAAGAACAAACAAACAAATCTGGCTCCACCACTCTGTGTCTCAGTTACCTCAGGGAGAGGATAGTACAGTTTCAGCCCCGTAGGGCCCTTGTGAGGATTAAATGCATGATTGTACTTAAGTGCTTAGAACAGTACTTGGTCCATAGTATAAGCACTGCATAAGTGTTTGCTTTTATATTTTATTTTTCAACTTCTCCAATCCAGCTGAGCCTTTCTGGGTCTGAGTGTGAGAATGAGTGGACAGGGCTGTAATGGGTGCAGCGGTGTTTATGCTCGGTCCTGGCACAGTTGGAAGTATCAAGCTATAGGAGAGGTCTTATACTATGTCTGGGCTGTGTGAGCAGCTGAGTTGAGTGTCACTATGTTCCACTTGAACTCATTTCCTCTTCCTCAAGTGGGAAGGTCAGCTTGGGGTCAGACTGACTATACACCACTATCTTTCACTAAGAGGCTCCTGATTTTCTGAATTTCCATCCAGCTGGACACATGATTATTTGATCTGGAGCTTTGAAGCAATCCTGAGGAGAGAAGAGAAACATCCCAAGGAGCCAGGAGCCAATGGACAACCAGGCAGGACTAAGGCATGAGGACAGTCCAGGGTTCTGAGGCCTGGCTGATGACCTCTTCCTGGAAATTTGGTCCCTGCCCTGGGAGGGGAAGGGGCTTTGTCTAGGCTCCACATCCCATTGCTCTTCCCCTAACCTCAGTCCTGTGGTCCTCCCTGTACTTTTTATTATTTTCTGCTAACACCGCCCCACAGAACCACAGAATAGAAATATAAAACAAACAAAAGTTTGTCATGTTGAGATCAGATCTGATGTTATAAAAATATCTCGGCCAGGCGCAGTGGCTCACGCCTATCAACCCAGCACTTTGGGGGCCTGTGGTGAGAGGACTGCCTGAGCCCACAGTTCGAGACCAGCCTGGGCAACTTGGTGAGACCTCATCTCTACAATAAGTCAAAAAACTAGCCAGGCATGGTGGTGTGTGCCTGTAGTTCCAGCTACTTGGAAGGGTGAGGCGGAAGGGTCACCAGAGCCCAGCAGGTTGAGGCTGCAGTGGCCGTGACTGTACTACTGCCCTCCAGCCTGGGTGACAGAGTGAGACTCCAACTCAAAAAAAAAAATCTCACATTTGCCTTTTTTTCTTAAATAAAGTTACAGGGTCTCATTGTAGAAATAGGCATTTAATATAAGTATGTGAATATAAGTATGTTATATGACAACATACATACTGGTATATAAATATACATCTGACCATCAAACAACAGCAAATACCAACCCCCTATGTAGCTGAAAATTCACATACAGCTTTTATATGAGATGGAGTCTCCCTATATCACCCAAGCTTATCTCCAACTTCTGAGCTCAAGCAATCCTCCTATCTCAGCCTCCTCAGTAGCTGGGACTACCAATGTGCACCACTTTGCCTGGCTAATTTATTAATTTTTTTGCTTACTGTTGCTACCTCTGATGATAATTTTTTTTTTTCTTTTGAGTTGGAGTCTCACTCTGTCACCCAGACTGGAATGCAGTGGCCACTCCCGGCCACCGCAGCCTCAACCTGCTGGGCTCTGGCGATCCTTCCGCCTCAGCCTTCTGAGTAGCAGGAACTACAGGCATGCGCTACCACACCTGGCTCATTTTTGATTTATTGTG